TTCTCTCTATATAAAGAGCTCATTCCCCTTACTTCCTACACACACTTGGAGAAAACTAAACAAAAAAACACAAAAAATACTTCCAAGGGTTAAAAAAAGACACTTGGGCTTTATATTAAAACTTGTGTAATAATAATATTTTTTAAAGATATTTGGGCTTGGGATTAAAATCAAGCTAGTGTCATAGTAAATTTTTTGTTTTTGAGTAGAATTAGGTGGGTTTGTTAATTTAGCCGTGACAACTTGTTAACTTAGTTATCTGTGAGGATTAATTTAGCCGTGACAGCTTGTTAACCTCATAGTACATTTTTGGGGCATCAAATTAATTTAGCCGTGACAGCTTGTTAACCTCATAGTACATTTTTGGGGCATCAAACTTGTTAAGTTGAGGCTGTTCTCCATAACTTGGCTCTGTACACCAAGTTTTGTCGTCTTCGAGGTAAGTCTGTTTACCTTTTTCTTTAGTTAATACTTGTCTATTTTTGTATGCCTTTTCATGCTCTTTATTTGCTTTATTAGTTTATAATTTGTCTATTTTTTATGCTCTTTATTTTTTTTAACTCATAATTATTTATTTTTTTGCACGCTATTTTATGCTCTTTATCTGTTTTATTAGAAATTTTCTTATAATTGTTTATGACCTTTGTATGTTTTTGTTCCCCTTATTTGTTTTATTAGTATTTTTCTTATGTATTTTAGAAACTTATTTAGGGATTAATTTTGCCGTAATGGCTTGTTAATCTCATAATTTTTTGGGTCATTTTGGTTGTGACAGCTTGATGACCCAAGCTAGTTTTAAATTATTATTTTGTATTAATTTATTTATTTTTCCTAATTAAGGATTAATTTAGCTGTGACGGCTTATTAATCTCGTAGTATTCTTCGGGTTATTTTAGCTGCGACAGCTTGATAATTCGAAGCCTTTAAAATGAATTTCTTTAAAATTATTTTCAAAAATTAAAACCAATTAGTATACATATTTTTAAAGAACGACGTAGCTTTGAATTCTTCACTACACCGGAGGATACATCGGAGCGGAACTCTTTCCGTCAAGCTAAAATAAAATTTTAATAGTTTAGTCTTCCTACTTCCTAATCAATCATATATTTTTTTAAGGGATAAAACAAATATTTTTAAAAGCTATTAATAATTCGTACAATTAATTTAAGGTAACTGTTTTGCAACGGATGTGTCAGGGGTACAGTGGAATTAAATTTTCACCCTTCCCTGTGCATAATTAGACTTCTGAATCTTGATCTAAAATTTTAAAAGACCAGATTGCAACAAAAGGTTTTCCAATTTTTTCAAAGTAAATAAAATTGGTAGTGACTGATAAGTCTCTGAAATGAGACTTGAAACATATGGTTTTAATGTGCAAATAGAAATAAAAGAATACTTTTTATGTTAGTAAAAGCCCCAAATTTACACTGAGTTGAATTTATTGATTAAAGTGCTAATGGGCTGTAACATTCCATTTTTCAGGCCCATTTTCCTTTTTCATCAGAAATACCCATTAGAGGAAAGTAAAAGAAGTCAGCATGAAGAAAAAAAAAAGATACAGGGAAGTGATGGGCCGGACCTAAAAAGCCCAAAAGGAAAGGAAGAAAGAAAGCAACAAAAGGAAAAGAAAAAAGGGAAGGAAAGAGAAGTCTGCGGCAGAAACGTGAAGAAAAGAAAAGAAAACGCAAACCCTAGCGAACCCACGTCGTGCGATCAGAACCCACTTCAGCCATCCCTAATCCCTGCCCCAAATCGATTCAGAAGGTCAGAATATCCCTTGTCCACGGTTCATCTTGACCCATACCCACAGTCCATGTAGAAAAAGAAATCACGAAAACCCTAGCCACTATTTTTGGATTCAGAAAAAGCCAAACAAAGATCCGTTACTTAGTGGATGCTGGAGCGATTGTGAGCACACGTCATTGTACGGGTTGAAGGAACGACAATTCCATCCGATTTGTAAGAGCAGAGGAGTGGAGCACTGTGGGGACCACTCATTTGCAGCAGCGCGTCATATTGCTGAGCTGGAGAAAAAGAGGATAGTGTGCAAAGAGCCCTATAAAAGGGATATAGGAGTGAGTCATCGAGGGAGCTCTCTTCTGTTTTCTGATTTATGGTTTTTCTTAGTTTTTGTTTTCTGAACAATTTTGAGTTTCTTTTAATTTCTGTTTTGTAATGAGATTCTGGTTCATTTTGATGAACTTGATGCATGTCTTTACAGCACTGAGATTGCCGGTTGTTAGGCCAGTGCTGTAATTGTAGTTTTTAGAATTTTTATTTTGTGAATTCTGTAGTTCTGTTACTGTTTGTAAGCCTCACCCCTATGGATAGTGGCTAACTTTTTAGAGGTTGGGTTTAGGTGATACCCGAACCTCAGTGCTTGTCAAATATTTGATTTCCTGGTTTTAATGTTTATATCTCAGTTGTTTAATGTTGTTTCTAATGTTTAAAATTGTCTGCATTTTGGCCAAATGTCAGATGTTTGGTTAGGATTTAGTTGTTGAGAAACAATTAATTCTGGATTCTGCATTAGACACATGAACTTAGATGAGAAATCATCTAAGGGATCTCAATTCAGAAACGAATGAGTCCTCATGTAATAGTGGACCTGAATCTCAAGAGTCCTAATCCCACTTGGCATAGAGATATGGAAGTGGGCAACTTTGGGATAAAATAATTTTTAAGAGATTAAAAATTAACAATACAGTCCTGTTAACAGAGAATCTTAGGATGAGCCTTTTGTTAATCAAATTATTTTTCAAGCATTGTGGGGAAGGAGAGCCAAAAACTCAACCCACCTTTTTAAACATCTTTATCAATTCAGATTTTCCAATTTCTTTTGTTATTTCATATTTCAATCTCTATTCCGTTTTCAAAATTTTTGTCACATCTTTCATTTAAGTTGCTCCATTCTTCATTTTTATTTTATAACTTAAGAAAGTAATTCAGAAAATTTTAAAAGAAAAGTGAACAGTAGTGTTTTAGGTCCATTCTAAATTATTTTTACTTTACAATTTTATATCTTTTATTTTCAAATAGTAACTCAATTTTAAGCAATTACAAATTTTAGTCATTTCAAAACGCCAACGATCCTTGTGGGAACGATAACTGGGACTTATAACAGCCCTATATTACTTGTTGTCGCGTATACTTGCGCGCATTACTTGCACAACTGTTAGCAAGGCAACAAGTTTTTGGCGCCGTTGCCGGGGATCGAGGCGTATATGATCAAGTTTCTGTGTGATTGCTATTTTTGAACTGCTTCTTTTTGCTGTTTTTAGTGTAGCTCATTTGAATTCTGTGTCAGTTTTGTTTAGTTATTAGTTCTATAGTATCTTGAATATTGGTAGTTTAAAATCTGTTCTGTTCATATTCTGTTTATTTTATGTCATTTAATTTTTCTTAGTTTCATTTTTATTTTAATTATTAGTTCCACCCTGTGTGAGGGTGAGTTATTACTGCCTTATAAAGCCGTCAGGCTGTGAACTGTCTTGGGATTTTTCTGCTTGCAGGTTCTTGTGTGTTTATTTATTGCTTGTTCTGCATAAAAGTTGGTTAGTAATTTAGGTGTTTTAGCTAAGCCAGGTTTACCTGTTTTAGTTAAAAGGGGTGCATGAGTGCAACTCCACACCCGTTCATATATTCAATTGACCCGGAACCTGAAAGGACATTTAGAGTTAGGAGAAGAGCCCAGATAGCACATAGGCAAATTCCACTTCTAGAAATTGAAGAAATGGAGGATTTAGGAAGTGTAAATGGGAATGATGGGGTAGGAGGACCTGCAAGGATAAGGGAACCACCTGTTATAAATGATAATGATAGGTCCATGATGGACTTCATCATACCTGTGTTGGATGAGTTAGATCCAAGCATAGCCCAACCTGTGAATGGAGTGCCCTTCAAATTAGAACCGGTGATGTTCACCATGCTTCAAAACATGGGGCAGTTTCATGGGTTGTTGATGGAAGACCCACACAAGCATCTTAGAAATTTCATAGAAGTGGCCAACACTTTTAGGAATCCTAACATCTCGGATGATGTGTTAAGATTGAAGCTCTTCCCTCATTCACTGGCTGACAAAGCCAAAGAATGGTTGAACTCCCTTCCATCCAACTCTATAACCAATTGGCACACCCTTGCTGAGAAATTCATTATGAAATTTTCCCCCTCTAATAAGATAGTGCAAACTAGAGGTGATATTGCTAACTTCATGCAGAGGGATGGAGAGACACTAGTGGATGTGTGGGAGAGGTACAAGAACCTTCTTAAGCAATGCCCAAATCATGGTTTGCCCTCTTGGGCAGTGTTACAAACCCTGTACAATGGCCTAAATACTCAAAACAGGGCCTTGGCAGATTCTGCTGCTAATGGCATGTTTATGACTATGTCCTTTAACCAAGCCCATGAGTTGTTAGAACAAATGACTCAAAATTATGCCCAATGGCCTGAAGAGAGAAATCAGCCAAGGAGAGTGGCTGGTTTACATGAGATAGACCCTGTAACAGCTCGTTCAGCCAAGTTTGATGCACTGTCTAATTTAGTGAGAACCCAAGGACAAACCATTGAGGCAAGATTATCTCAATCCCAAGTTCCTGCACCTCAAGTACCTGTGACCCAACCTCAAGTTAATGCAATAAACACAAGTGTAACTTGTGGCAGCAAGCTGGTCCTTCTAATGCTCAAACAAAAATACCTTTTCCTACCCAGAATTACCCAAAACAAACTGTTGTTCAACCTAGTAGATGCCCATTGCTCCATCCTCTTCAAGCTGAATATTTGGTTTGAGACCAAGCAAAACAGCTTGGAAGCCAAAGTATTCCAGCATCCCTAAGGAACATAGAATCCCAACTAGGCCATGCCCATTGTACCTTGCCTAGTAACACTGAAGAGCCTAGGAGAAATAAAGAGCAATGCAATATGATAGAGCTTAGAAATGGCAGATCTGTAAATCAGCCAGAAGCTGTTTGACCTTCCACATTAAAAAAAAGGAAGGGGAGAACATGCAGAAAGAAAAAGAGGCAAATTCTGAACCTGTTCAGAATTCTGTTGTCCATAATAGCCCCCAAGGGGTTGTGCACAATAACTCTTCACCCACTTTGGTCGAATCAGACACTCAGCCCTCTATAGATGAGCCTTTAGGGAATAATTCCATTGAAAAACCTACTCAAAAGGGTTCGACCCCTAAGCCAAATAGTGAGACACCTGCTACTTCAAAAAGACCTCCACCACCCTTTCCTCAAAGGTTGCAAAAGCAGAAGCAAGATAATCAGTTTAGGAAATTTCTAGACCTCCTAAAACAGTTGCATGTCAACATTCCATTTGTTGATGCATTGGAACAAATGCCCTCTTATGTAAAGTTCATGAAAGAAATTCTTTCAAGAAAAAGGAGGCTAGAAGAGTTTGAGACTGTTGCTCTTACACAAGAGAGCAGTCAATATCTTCTTAGTAAGATACCTCCTAAACTAGGAGACCCAGGAAGTTTTACAATCCCTTGTACCATAGGAGATCACTACATAGGCAGAGCATT